AGGTATAGCGTAGTAAAAAAATTATAAACAATAAATATATTTATCTTTATATTCAAAATCAAATCACAAACATAGAGAAAAAATAAAAGAATTTAAGCATCAATTTGTAGTGGGGTGAAAGGTAGTGCACGGCAGTGGTGATGGTAAGAGACGGTAATGGTTGTGGTAGGCAGCAATGATCATGGTGACGGCGAGGGCGGCGACGACGATGATGGTGGTTTTGTTGGTGGCGGCGATGGTAGCGGTGGTGGTGACGGCAACGATGGTGGTAGTGGCGGTGGTGGTGGTGGTGATTAAGGTAGTGGTGGAGCGGCTTCAAACACCAATTTTTAAAAAATTATTTATAAGAAATAATTTTTAAAAATACTTTTAAAAAGTCACTTCAAACACACCCTTAGAGACTTATTTTTTCTATTAATTTAAAATATTAATATTAGCCGTTAGATTAACTTTAAAGTAAAATTTAAAGCAATTTCAACCGCAAATAATAAAAGTTATTTTGTTTATCTTTTGAAATTTAAATTATAAGTTATTTATTATATAAATAGATAGATGTGAGAGAGAATTTTAATGCTCGTCAAATTCCTAAAATTTAAGAGTTGTTAGTTTTCAAATTTGTTTTAATTAAGTAAAACTATTTAGGGTATTTTGGACAATGGAGATAAAAAAAAACTTAATATTAAACAAGTTTTTTTGATGAACTTATCACCAAACAAATTCACAAAGGGGAACTAGCCTCCAAATTTTCCTAAGTTAAAATCTTTTGTTTGTGCATAAATTTAAATTTTTTGTTTGGACAGTCATTGCCTTTCTTGAAGTGAGACCTTAAACTTTTTTTGATTGAACTTGTGTTTTTATAAAACCTTTTTGTAAGGCATAAAATATTTATGAATTTAATTTTTTTATATGCACTAATTAAGATATCTAAAAATTTGAGACATTCTTTAAAAAATTGTGTCTAAAGTCCAAGTTTTTTTTTGATAACACTATTGAGCCGCACTTGGTTACTTTGCGTTGCGACGTGAAAATCCGTTATTATGGTAGGTATGCCGGCGGGCTATCTATTTAGCCAAACTTAAATGAAATGGCTCGTCATAATTGAATGAAGTCAAAGTTGTCTCTGACACAATTTATAAGTTTATACATTTTTTTTTGGTAATTAAACAAATCTTATTGATAGGAATTAAACTATGCAAGAAAAGGTCAAAATAGTAAAACCCCCTTTAAAGAAATATTCAACCTAAGTTATAGGTTTATTAGGGTGTCAATTGTGTCGTGCGTATCATTTTCGTATCGTGGCACCTTCGATCGTGTTATTTTTCGTGTCGTATCATTTTTACTATGTGTCGGGTTTGTGTCAATATTTATGTTAATAAAAAATTATTCAATTCGACAACAACTAATATAATATTATTTAAAAAATTATAAAATTTTTATTTTTTATTTACAATACTCGTTCAATAATTATTTTTTATCTACAGTACCCATTAATCGTGTTATTTGCGTCAAACCTTAATTTGACTCATTTATTACTCGTGTCAACTAATCGTATTATTTTCGGATTCGTGTCAGATTCAGTTCAAGTCGAGTTCATGTTAACAGAAAAAATTGACACGCCTAGGTTTATACATGCCATCAACCACCTGTATTCCTGGAGTTTTATATTTCGTTTGGTACGATAGAAAAGTTGAATGGATAAATAAAACATCATGTTTGATAAGGAATGATGAAAAAGTGGATGGATTAACTTTCCTTCCAACTCACCAAAATCGATCTTTCCAAAATTTGAAGGAAAGTGGATGAAAAATTAATTATTTGTGTTGAGATGTATCTTATATATATACATATACATATATTATGTATATATTAATTTCATATAAAAATACAATGGCAAAATATTTGTATATATATATATATATTAAAAAAAATTAAAAAAATTAAAAATTTTATATTTTTTCCATCTTAAAAAATGGTAAAAATTTTCAACTCAATACGATAACACGACTCAAACTCGATACGAAAATAAAGAGATCAATTCGTAACTCAATACGACACAATTAGTTAAATTAGGTTTGACTAATATTCGACACAAACTTGTAATGACTCAACACGAATCTGATACTACACGACTCGATTGTCATCTCTAATCTTAGCCATCACAAAAAAAAAAATTTATTTTTATTTTCCATCCATCCAACCAAACACAAAGAAAGGAAAATGTATTCTTTCTACTTTTCATCCTTGATGGATAGAAAGTGCATCCCTCTTACTTTTCATTTTTCCTACCAAACGGAACATTAGACTTTCAATAGTTGATGCTTTTAAATTTAACCATGCTGGCTACTTCTTTCATGATTTGAGGACAAATAATGATTAGTGAAAGTCAATTATATTAAAAATAGGTGCTTTCTATCATTGAAGATATGGTTCATTGAATGGTGCTTTTTATTTTCCACCAAAAGCTAAAACCACGTTTCTATGTATAAAATGAAGAAGTTGACCATAACTTTGAATAATTTTGCTTTCATAGACAATTCCAATAATAATTTGTTGACAACTTTGAAATTACAATGACAAAGCTTTAAAAGGTTCATTGGGTACTCTCCTTAGTCTCTATTTTGGTCCTATTCAACTTACATTCTCCTTAGCTAAAAACATATATAAAAAAAAAATTCGTCCGGTGCACTAGATTTACGTCTAAATTGTGATTTGAAATAGATAAGTAATAGACCATATTACGGTCATTTTGAAGAGACCAATTTTCGATTTCAAACACTTGGCATGTTATTTTTATATATGAACACTTGTCATTACTTTAAATTCTAACTTCTCTTTTTGTTGACGAGTGTTTTATTTTCTTAAATAAATGAAAGAGAAAAAATGTGTTGTGACCTTAATACTTTATTCAATGAACTCTAAGTAAGGTAAGGTAAAAGGTGGTAGTTTCATTATTTTTAAATTTCATGACTTTGCACGTCCCCTAAGGTTTGTCCATTGTGTCTTTGTTGTCTCCATTGGAACAACATGGCAACATGTCATTTTCCCTCTTCGCTTTCCATTTTTTTTTCTTTGGAATTTCATCGAATACTATAGCTGTCAAATTAATTTCACCTAAAAAGACAAAAATGTTTACTACTGTGTCTTCAACAATTGTTAGTGAACCTTGTTTTTGCGATCATTGAACAATTCAATTCATTTTTCAAATCTCTCTCTCTCTCCTTCCTTCCGTCATGGAAAGACATTTCTCTACCTTATTGAACGATCGTCATGTGGTTATGCTAATTATCTTACATTCGCGCCTTTTTTAAATCACTTGACCAATAATATATATTTGTTCTTTTTGCCTTGAAAAAATGAAAATATAGCTGTTAAATGATCTAAACAGCTCAAGCTCAACCAACTTTATTTTTTTTTCGCAAGGCATCTGATTAGATTTCTAAGCTTGACTCGTGTAGGCTCTGTTCTACTTGAATATGTTTCTATTCATAAAAAATTCGTTTTATTATCAAACAATTCTTATTTAAACATGTTGGATGTATTTTTACAATATAACAAAATTACTTATTGAAATTTTTGATTTGTATCATGCAATTTAGAACAAAAAATAATGTATATGAACAAAATTGTAACACATAAAATTGTAATAAATAAATTGACTCATTTTCAAATCAAAAACAGAGATTGAACTTTATAGATAATGTTAGTGTTTGACACTGTGTCTTTAAGATAGATTTCGCCCCCACACTTAATACTTATGGAAATCACAACGTCTGTCTTTCAGGATATAATAATTTTCACGGAATTAAAAGTAACACTCCAATTTTATTGTCCAGCGAATTAGAATCGTGTTCTGGATTATTTATAGACAAAATGGTGATTGCTCCAGATAGTCACTATGTGAACAGATATAATCCAGAAGATAGAATACAGCGTAAAAGACACCATTGATGTCTGCCTAATGAATGAGAGTAAGGGACTGAGGCTATCCCATATCGAATAGCCTTGGAGTTGTGTGTGTGCATAAGGCCCTTCACCACTACCACTTTTAAGTGGCGATGTTGATGTGGTTCTATGTGTGTTGTGTAATCGTTTCTTTCGAAAAAAACATATAAGAATTTCAAAATTCTGACTAAAGGGAAAATTGAAATTCGAATTATTGCGAATTTTGAATTCCAACGGATAGAAATTAAAATCGAGTTAAGAATTTTGGACCAATTTGTAAATGAATTTTTTCTAAAAGAAATAAGGTTAGGTCTAAACCACACTCGAACCTAGTTGTGGCAGGTGCGTGTGTGGTAACCAATTTTATGTAGGCGCACTCCATTCACAAAATTGTTGTACCTCTTGGAGACTAACCCATAATGCAAACTTAGAATATATTTACTCACTAAGTTTTTCTTACCCAATCAATATGGGATTGATGTCAAGTCTCGTATTGTCTCAACCTTTATTTTCATTCTCAAGATAGTTACTTTGAAGCATATTTTTTCATTCATCTCTTATTCAATTTGAGTAAATGAATGTACTACATTATTCTTCTTAAGGACTAGAACATGAACCCATGAAAGTTTACTCAAAAAGATGAGTGAGTCCTACTTTAATTTAAACTCAAAATCAATTACAAATAAATTTTTTTAGGTTAAGATACTCACAAATTTGTGTCAAGTCGATTAAGACCTTAATGCTATGTTACTCTATGTGGTATAAAAGTAATGAGAAGCAGTGTTACGTGGTACATGGCAATCCACACATAACTCTGGCATTGGACGCTACAAGCAAGTTATCTAATAGTAAAGGTTAAAATATTAAGGAGTAGATGTTACAAACTCAATTCCATTGACATCACTTAACATTTGAAACAAACGGAGAACATAGGCAGATGAAAATTATTTGAACGGAAATTCCATTCAAACAAAATAATTCACCACTAACTTTATTCAATTTTGACTCGAACAAATTCTCAAAAAAAATTTGAAAATCATCATCCAAAGCCTTGAAGATTAAACCACACTACACTTCTTCCTTATCTCTCCTGCAGTTCCTGTGAGCACTCCAATTGCACCCATCCTCTTAATAGATTGGCTAAACTCAGTGAAGAACTTCCCAGATCTCAACATTTCATCAACAACATTTCTGGCACCTTTGTTAGTCAACAGTGCAGCATCAGATTGGAAAAGGCCTTGGTGAATCTTCAAGTTAGAGAAGTAATGGTTGTCGAACGTTAGAGCGCTCCTGGGGTTCATAGCTACCGCGGTCGTGTTGTCCGAGAGGCTCCGGCATTTCGATCTCAAGAAGGCTGCGTAAGTGGAGTTCAGGGAAGGATCGGCGTCGCCTTTTCCGGTGAAATTGTATAGCCTGTTGCTAAAGAAATTGCAGTGTCCTACACCAATAGTGTGTGCACCTACACAAAACATATTTTTCCATAGGGCAAATTTAAGATTAGAGTAAACTTTCTATTTGCATTTTAGGTTACATTAGCTAACGGTTGCTGCATTTATAGGGACCGACAAAAAACCCATGGTCCATGGCTGGCCCGTTAGCCTGGCAGACTCGGCTGACTTGGCGGGGTCCAATAGGGCCATTAGGCTATGATTTTTGGACCGCTACACACAACAGGCTGGCTCGAATAAAGTTTACAAAGATGGCCTATTTAGTAAGCCTGCAGCCGGTTCAATGGCCCAATAAATTTCGACAAAAATAGATGAATGCTAGGTTAAAAAATTGAACAATTACCCATTAAATTTTGACTATGAGTAGCCCGTTTATTATCACAAACCCAACGGGCAGGGATATTAATTGAGCCAAATTTTTTGAGTTTGAACTCAAGTCGAGCCCTAGTAACTCGATTATTGTACATATAAACTAGCCGAACTTTGCGAATTTGAGCCGAGTCTTTTAGTTCAAAGTCAACTCACTTAGAACACCACGAGTCAAGCTCTAGTTAAACTTTATCTAAAGAAAGGTTCTCATCTGTTTAACACCCATAACCGTGGGTCGTGATCTTTTGGTGGACATGTCTAGCCCGGCCTGGTTTCTGAGAAGAGGCCTGTTCTAGGTTGTTTATTGGCAAGCTGGACGGCCCGCTGCCAATCCCTATCAATAGCTTGGCCCAGCTCTTTGGCAACTCTTACCCATTGGCCACATAGTTTTTGGAGAATCTCCATTGTCCTTCACCTTTCACGAGGCAAGTTCATTTTTTTCTCTTCTAATTGGTTTCACTCAATGAAAATAACATGTGGATGTGCTCCTTGATGACATGTATTGTTTGTCGGTCCCATATTTTCGAATCACACTTGAAAAAAGTAGTACATCGAAACAAATTTCATACGGACAAACCAAAATCTTATATTAATTATATTGAGGGTTTTGTAATACCTGATAAAACCACGAGATCATGAACATTGAGGGTTTTGTTGGCAAAAGCTTGTGTGAGAGTGGTGAAGTTAGAGAATGGAGATGGTATGTTGGCCAGAGCTTCTGAAGCACGTGAAATATTTCCATCTCTTCTACCAGTTAGCACCTCCCACATTGATTTATTGAACTGCAGTTATAACAATTGGAACGTTACATCAAAATTTATCTTTTCAGAAAGTTATATCTATCTATTATTATAGTTAAAAAATTAAATTCTCAATTTATAAAATCAAAACAATGGTCAAGATTGATTAGATTATTATATATATTGATCCAATGGTATAAAATTCACTCTAAAATTGTTTTTTCCCACTTAAAAACATCTTTTTCTCTGTCCCAAAGTCAAGCAGCAGCCAATACACTTCCCGATGTCAATCAATCTCATTTATCTGCATATATCTCTCTTTTTTCTCTCTTACCTATCTCTTATTTTCTCTTTGTTCATGTTATTTTTAAATTACATAATTGAAAAAGAGAAATAAAAATAAATAACTATTTCTTATTAATATTTAATTTTTAGTATTGCATAATGTTTTCAGGCACATGATCATTGCTAGTATATACATATATATAAGACATAAAGACTGTTGGTTTCATCCACTTCAATTTGGGTTTCTTTGCTGGCTAGATCATTTGTTTGTCATTATACCAACAAACTTAACACTAGAAGTGGCAACCAACACGAGTTGGTTCAAGTTCAAACAAAGGACGAGGCATAATTAGCAATTCCTAAGTCCAAAGTTTAAGTTTCTTGGACAAGTACAAGGACTTATCCTATGCATATTATTTGTGAGTAGTTGCATGCATTCAAAATTTATGTTGGAATTACAAGTACAAAGAGCACAAATATTGGAACTAATTTTATTTTTCCATAATATTTATATATATGAAACTTACTTGGAAAGAACCGAGTCTCTAGCAGCTAAAGTGATAATATCTGCACAGGATACTACTCCAGGGCATGTATTCTCCAGTTGGGTCTTTATTTCATCAATAACATCGAAGCCTGCCAGTGATAGATTTGGAACTGCATCCTTCTCAGCTGTATTATTTGGTGTGGAGTTAATCAATATCGAGGCATCACAGCACCCTGGAAAACCAACCACCATATAAGCATTTAGAAACAAAAAATTGTATCTCAAGCGATTGGGCAGAAGTGCGAAAATTAAACCTGATAATTTTCAGACATGACTCGTGAATGCAACATGAAAAACCGTTATAAAATAACAAGTTTTTATTTCGTCTTACGGATTCAAGGGAACAAATGGATTGGTGAGGTCTATTGG